AAATGTATTAATGTATTTATATTAATATATATGTATATCTAAAGTTTGATTGCCAGTTATCATGATCCAGATAACCAGATTGTTAAGAGAGGCACACTGTTCTACTTCTTTCCTTAAGAACTTAAGAAATAATATTCAATTATAGATAGGAAATGCCAGTGGCTTTTACTTGTTTATATATAAATAATTAGTTATCATTCCACCAATGACAATTGATTTTCTTGTATCATTTATTGTATTGTAAAAGAGTTTCAATACTGACTGAATACCTGCTTATGAGCAGAGTCAAAAAGTCAGTAAGAAGTTAGCTCTTTAAGCAAATCTGGGAGTTAATTAAGCTCAATTGATGTATCAGTGTCGTGCTAGGTTATTGGGTATTTATTGTCAATTATTGAATTCTTGTAGCAAGACAATTTGCTGCTGAACTTGCAGGGTTAGTGATCATAAAAAATTGTAGTTTAATTAGCAGATGATTTATATTTCTGCAGGGCTACATCAATGGTATTGAAAAGTATGTCTAGCATAGACTATGATGAAGGAATGCTTGATCTGTACATGTGATGTTGCTGTGAACATAATAAAGGTTTTAATTAGAGGAAAACACCTGCAATGATTGTGTTTCTTGCGATAGATGCCTTAAAGGTCAATTTTTTTTTATATATATAGCTTGGATGTTCAAAATGAGTATGGTGTTAATCATGTCTTTTTTAATGTCCCCATGTTTATGTACTTACTGCACATTAATTGTTCTAAAATTTCAGTTCCTTAGATTGTGTTGTTTGTGTAGCATGCTTGTCGTAGTCGTGTTAGCATTTTGCTTATTTCACTTCTTTAAGAGCTGAACCCATAGAGAGGACTATGTTGGTTATTTCAGTTACTGCAATTATTGTTTGAAGATATGATCACAATTTTGTGTTTGTGCACACTTTCAAGGAAACGGCGATGTGAATTGCACCCCAATTTTGATTGCGCTGGGTATGTTATTTTTTTATTTAGGTTTGTTCTGTCTTTCTCGAAAAAACAACTAGGATAGATTCAGGATGATGATATTTAAGCTTACTAATTGCTGCTAGAACTAAGAATTTTGTGATAGGTTACATATAGGTAAGAATAATTGAATATTTTCATGTATAGGGATTTCTTAATTATATGTAATTGTAGAGCTCTAACAGATTAGTGACTCCTTGTATTGAGAAGAGGATGTAGAGATTATCAGCTGGATACCCATTCCTGAATATAATCCGGACTTGCACTAATTGTAAAGTTCTTGTAATTGCATATTTTCCGTGGTGTGATTCTTGGTGGCAGAGTGCTCTTTATATTTTATGGTCACAGCATTTTCTCATGCAGTTCCCTCTTTTTAGTGGCATACAGTGTATTGCTGAAGATTTTGCTACTTTTCACACTACATGATTAGTTTCTTTGTTGAAAATTTTCAATATCTTCTATAGTATTTACATGGCTTGTCCCCACTGTTCTGGCAAAAATTTCATAGAGGCTTTGTAGTCCTTATGATTATTCAACCTACCCAAGTTCTTTTCCTTTTATGTTTGAACTTAATATGGGGGGATGGAAACAAAATTGATATTGCAGATAAAACAAGAAATTCACCAGTTCTGCTCAATAAAGTGCAATAAATTAAAGTACATGATTGGTATCACATGAGATACGCACTTAAAGATCTTTTCATATTGTCATTTACTGGCTGGAAAACTGAAAATCTTTAAATTACGGATCTTGAAAAGAATTGTGATACTTAATGTGGCACAATGAGAACAAGAACTTTTATACCTAAGATCATCTTTGTTGACATACTCGTTCACAGATTTTGCTGTTTGAGAAGCTAACGACATCGATTGAAAGGGACCAGAATGTGTTACATCACGAACAGCGTTTTGTATTGTTTTTTTACCTGTTATTATTATGTGCTTAGTGAATAAAAGTTAATGTGAAAATTAATTGAAAGACCAAGTAACTTTTGTAAACCTTTCTGAAGAATTTTAAGATTAAATTGTTTATTTTCATAATTTATGTATTTTGTTGTTGTTGTTGTTACCCTGTGGCAATATATTAGATATTATGATTTCTTCAAGTTTAAAGATCACATTTTGATTCTGTTATTCGGAAATAATGAGTGCAGTTTTTAAGGATTATAGGCCATGTAATTTTGCATACGTACACAAAGAAAGTATTGTAGGTATACTTCCGAATAAGTATCTAAAATAATAAATTGCTTTTAACTGCTTGAAAAAAGGCTCAAAGATAGTAATTGTTCTATTCATGATACTGTTCCCTTTCAAAACAATAGTGAAACCATAATTAATGCTAGGGAAGAAATATGTACTTATAACAAGTACTTATGAAGGCCTGTCAGTAGTTTTTAACTATGATACATTATTGTTATTTCCCAGTGTACAGATTAAGAAGTGGACGAAAGTTCAAGGAATAATATTGCTGTTAACTTTCCCATTCTGTAAATATAGATATTTGAAATTTTGAAGTTGATAGATGGTTTGGAAGTTGGCTAAGCACAATTACTAACTTAAATATAATAGAGTTCTAACTGCATAGTTGTTTGTTCATTCTAAGACATTTATAGTTCTGGATTCCAAATAGAAGATGAAATAAAATCTGTTCATGAAGTGTGGAAATTAAATAATGTCGAAAGAAGAGATGGAGGGTGAAAGTAACATTTATAAATCAAGATCTGGTTAAAGGTTTGCTCATGTAAATTTACAGAAAGAAAAGTGCTTTTATAAACTTGCCAATGAGTAAAGCGTTTATTAACCACGACTCCTCTTTCACCAGCTAAACTTCTCTGCTTAGTGAGACGCAGTTTCTACTGTAACACATTTGGTCCCTAAGGGTTATGAGGAGGGGTGCAGGGAAACAAGCAAGACTTGTTGGCGACCGTATATTGTCGATGATGACAGGTGCCCCCGCCGCTGCACTCTGCTTACCGCCACCCCCCTCACTAACGGGTCACTGTCTTTTCTTGGGCCCGCTCTCTCACAGGCCGGTGTTTTCCAGGACACAGGAAACTTTAGCATTTTCCCCGGTCAAGGCCATTGGACTGCCAGAGAGGAGGTCAGATTGCTGGACGCCATTGAGCAGTATGGGTACGGTAACTGGGAGGACATTGCGCGCCATATCGAGACTCGCACTCCGGATGGTACGTTTGCATAATTTTTGCTTTGATCTGGGTTTCAAAGGTGTGAGTGAGCACTGTCTTTGAAAGTGTTATGTTGTAAAGCCTCTGTATGAGGTGGCTTTATTTTTCTTTCTTTCTTTCTTTTTTTCTTTAATTTTCTTTTGTCTTTTTTGTCCTTATAACTGAAGTTATAATAGGTCACATCAGGTGAGGTGGATATTGACAATCATTGAAGCTGAACTTATCTTGTGGAATTAACCAAATCATTGTTTTATAAGGAATATCTTTAGCTGATTATTTTAAAAAAAATATATTATAAATTCTTTCAGAAGTATATAACCCTTTGAAAATTTATATTGTATTCAGTTTTTTTAAGTGTTTTTGGTCCTCAAGAGGTTTATTCTTTTTATTTGTTATATAGATTTTTTTTCAGTTCATAATAAGTAGTCAGAATATGTTTACAAATGCAAATATTTAATGACTGAATTATCTGTGGTCTAATGTTACTGAGGAGAGTATGTAGAGCAGAATCAACCATTCAGATTCCATATTGGTGTAGATGCAATTGTTCATAACAAAAACAAGTCCATGAATTACTTTTACGGACGAGATACCACCTTTTAATTTCTTTCTTTTTTTATTAATTAATTATTTTTCTTGGGGCAGCATGTTCATAGACAGATGAATATACAGATGAATATAACAGTTGTAAGATATTTACCTTCAATATATTTTTTGTACTCTGATGAATTAGAACATTGACATTTTTTGTGAGAAAAATCACTTACAGAAATGAATGCATTTTTTAAAACAACAAATAGGATCTCATGGCAGAATTTCAGTTAATCGAAGCAAAAAGGAAAGGCCTCTACACTGATGTTATTGTTAGCTGAATGAAAAATATTGCACAATTCACTTTATCTTTTCTGGAAACCAACAGAGGCAAGAAATAAGTACATCAGCAGTTACATAGATGGCGCTATTGGGCGAGCCTCCTGGAAGCCAGCGTTAGAAAGATTGCAGCTCCCCATTGAGCACACAGTCCCTGACACAGGACCACTCTCGCCTACTCTAGGGTCTTCACTACCCTCCCAGCCACCCTCCACCGAGGAGAACACCATACTTGGATACATGCCACACAGAGATGATTTTGAGAGGGTGAGTTCGGTTGTTTAGTGTATTTTGAGGGAAACTTGGGTATTTGTGCATTGTTTTTTTGTATGTTGACTTGTATAAAGATATGTAAATTTTTTTTTTATTAATATATCAAGTGAAATGTAAGTAGGTTTTATAACCAGTGTTAAGACTTTAAAAGAAAAAGACTTAACCCATTCGCGCTGGGTAAAAATGAACAAAAAATGGGGAAAATGCTGTGCTCATTTTTTATATTTTTTAATGAAATTTCTCTACACTAGATGGCTCTGCCTTACCTGATTTCACCTTTATTTGAATTGGCAGGAAAATGTATTTTTACTAGTGTTATGAATATCGATGGTTATTGTTATTATAAACCTTATAATTACTATAATGTTATAAACATTAGTAACAGCAAAATAAGATAACGCAAAAGAATTTCGTAAATTAAAGAAAAGGGTAAACAGGCGAGACATGCAGTACAAGTACAAGTGGAGCCATCTATGTGTAAAAACAATCAAACAAGTAAACTCGCAGTGGGCATGTCACGTATACGTGACACCCGGCACGAATGGCTAAGAGATCAAATATGCATTGTGCTCATGTAATTTTGTTGTTTAAGTTTTTATATTTTATAGAAAATTGTAATGATATATTCATTATTATTTACACAGGAATGGGATAATGATGCAGAAACAACGATAGCACCATTATTCATTCACCCAGTTGATGATGAAGATGTGGATATGGCTCTCAAACTTGCACAGGTAAGTATTATCAAGTGAAAGTTCAGATGTATAATTTGTTGTGATTATAGGTTTATCAGTAGAGAGGAATGCAGATATTGGGATAATTTTGTAAGTCGACAGTTTATCAAGTTAAAGCATTGATCAAACTTGAAATCAGGGAGATTAAATGGCCATCTCTCAAAAGTGTATTGTTGTATATTTGATTTTTATATAAATATCCGCTATTTCAGGTTGATATGTACATGCGCCGTCTTCGTGAAAGATCGAGAAGAAAAAGGGTAGTTAGAGATTTCCAGGTTGTTCCACAATTCTTCAAGAAGGAAAGAGAAAAAGCCCAAGTTCCACCAAAAAAGAAAAGCAAAGATGATAAGTAAGGATTGCATCTACTTGCGGGATTTTGGGG